GTGTGTGTGTGTGTGTGTGTGTGTGTGTGTGTGTGGGAGGTGGCAGTCAGTACTTTGAACCACAGGTCATACCACATCTACTTCGAGCTCTCCTGATAACACAGGACTCAGTTCCTCTCTCACATTCATCCTTACGTCCCTCTTTCCACACACTGGCTCTGTTATTCTTGTAGCTTTCTGTGCATCTCTCCCTCTCTGCCTCCTTCCTTCTTCTCTTGTCCTTTCCTAAACCTCCCACCCCTCTTTGCCCTTCCCAGGTCTTTAATTAATCAAAATGAGCTAGCCCCTGGGTGACCCTCAGAGAGCTGCTAGTTAATTTAGATTTACTGCCAGTGTCCAGCTGAGGGCAGATAACACTACAGTAGGAGTTTTTCCTCATGTAGGTAGGAGGAGGATGCTGGGCCAGCCTGTCTTCTTCTTCTTTCCACAAAAAGAAAAAACAAGGGTGTAGAGAGAAAGAATAATAACATATCATTTGAGGTTAGACACACTGCAGGTTATGGTGGAGGGGGGTACAGTAGCTATAGTACAGCATAGCTACTATAGTCCCATCTCTTTGTATTTACATGAGCATTTATGAGACTGCATGTCTTCTGCACCTTCAGCAAAGTCTGAAATTAAAAGTGTTACTCCAGGAAAAGACACAACATGTGTTGGAAAACAAATAACGCTGATGAATTAATAAATGTTCACACACTGTCCAGTTCAGTAGTTGAACCATTCAAACCAGTTAATTATTAATCATACAATGAACTGACTGCAGTATTTAAATGTTTCACGACATCTCAGTTTACATTTATCATTCATTTTACACTCTGTAGTTTTTAACTATGACCCGAGAACAAAAGTAACTTAATAATGAAAAAAATATCTTTTTAATTTTTAGTAAAATTACATTTGTTTTCATAATCAAAAGAATTAAGAACTAAAGACATGTTGGACATATGTACTTAAAATACTAGTAAGAACACAGAGGCTTTAGTAAGAGCTATTTCACACAGAACATGCTTATTTATACACACAAAGGCAATAATTTAACAAAAGTTTTTTATTAACAATAATAAAGACCTAGCATTACAGAAGCCAGCCATGGGGAACCACAAACCAGTGTACTGTCAATGCTGGTCCCAGGCCTGGAGAAACTGGGAGGTTTGCATCAGAAAGGGCAAATCAAACAGGCCCAGGTTAGCAACGAACACCTGCAGTGGTTTGGCCAACACGTTGCCAGCTGATACTGTGTTACTGCTGTCTAATTGGAGTTGTAATTGGAGCACACTTCAGTTGGTATAAAGGTGAACAGAGCGAAGGTGATGACAAGGTGTTGAGTAGGTTTGGCATTAGGAAAAGGAATGTGGAAGGATAGATGGTAGTGGACTTCCTGACAAGGATTGAAAGGGCTGTGCTGAACTCACAGAGTGAAATATAAGAGAGGAGGAAGGTGCCCACAGGTGTACTACATCCTGAAGAAGGTGCAGGAGCCTGCAAGGTGCTATCAGCACAGTCGTTAGCGTACCTTTAGGATTAAAGAAGAAGCAGCAAGTGAGGGCAAAGATTAAATGTTGCTGGACAAGCTGACAGATGAGGTCAGGCAGGAGACTCTTTGTGATAATGATGTTATTAGACAACACTGATCTGCAGTGAGAGTAGGGAGCAGGTGGGGAAACCCTGGAAATGTGGAGGTATGCTCTGTAGAGAAGGGGAATGTATGTCGGGAGCAGAAGACAGGATATATATGTGTGAATGGGAAGGCAACAGGTGTAATGGTGAAGATGCAAGAAGCAGAGGTAATGAAGGTGGAGGAAGAGTGCAAGGAGAGCGTCACAACATGCTAGTGAGATCAGTCAACGTCTGGTTTAGACAGAGTTGCACAACAAAAAGATGGGAGATGCTAACATTGTCTTTGGGAGTAATAAGGGATTAGAAATGAGGCTGTGAGCTCAGACAAAGTAAGAGACGCGCAAGGCTGGATATTTGAAGAGGAGGGGTGGTGGGTGTGTTGCACACAGGATGGATAGTGAATGCTTACATTCAAAATGCTTATAAAGTGGAGTTATTATGAAGAAGAGGAATTCTTTGCTGAGGATTTTATTTTATTTCTGATTTGGGCGTCTGACAGCCTCATTCTGACAGAATTCAAAATCTGTGACTCCAGCCTGTTCAGTTCTCACATCACATCATCAGTAGCTGTCTGCCATAGTGGATGTGATACTAATACTGGTTACTGCTTGGCAGTGGTTTCTGGAGGGTGCTGTCTTTGCTGGGTGAAAGCGGTTGCAAGCTGCTGCAGTAAAAACCTTCATAGGTATTGTTCTGATTGCTGGCTCATTCCCCATAGATGCATGTTTGTCTGCAAACACTAGCTGAGCAGCAATGCAACTGAAAAAGTGTGGCACAGACTGGAGATGGAGAAGCTTTGCCTTTGCAGGCATTTTTCAGAAGATACAGCTTTTACTTTGAAGGCGATTAATCTCCATTTCCAGTTTGTGTCACATTTTTCAAAGTTTCACTACGACTGAGAGAACCTGGACAGTGTTTGTAGAGTCCATCACTTCCATTCAAACTACAATTGCAGCACTATTGGAGCAACCAAAGCAATCACAAAAAGGGTCGTGCCAGCTGGGTAATACACAGGTGGTGACCAGCTGTCACTGACAATCTAGGGCTATGTGACTGGGGTCACTTGGACAAGTTAATATATGACATGGTTAGTGGTCACACATCTCAGTAAGTATTTCTATACAGCCTTAAGTATTTTACATGTAATTATTATATTTTACCCTATTGTTACATTATTAGCACAACATCTGATTACTTTCCAACTCTCTGTGAATGGTACTCATGGGCACTGATCAATGAACAGTGCTCTGATTATCAGGTTGAGGAAACCTGCAGCTGAGACTGATGAAGTCACTTGGATGAGTGATGAATCGTTTCTACGTCCACATGAACAGAATCAGCTTTTTGGGGAGCCATGAAATGCAGCTCTAAAATTTGTAGTATTGCGTTCAGTTGAGCTGAAGCTGAAATTTGCTGACTCTAACTGCAGCTCTTGTCAGGAGTAGAAAACCACATCGAATGACGGTACCACAGTATGAAAGCTTTGTTTGAGCGAGGTTACAAAACAGAGCAGTGAAATCCATATAGTCAGTATGAATGGAGATGATTCTTTTCTGTCTTCATACGTGCTTCTTAGTGCACCTCTCTTCTCTCCACAGGGTCTGTACATCTTCTTAGTCTATGCTGTTTACAACAGTGAGGTAAATGCATTCAGTCCAGCTTTTGTCCTGCAAAATCAGAGCACATCCTTGTGCATTATGTGAGGCTGCAAGCCTTTTGGACAAATCAGTGGGTGTAAAGACTGCTTCTCATTTAGGTGAGGAATGCCATAAAGAGGATCAAAGAAAAGAGAAAGGCCTTATCTTTCACGGTGAGTGGGCAGAAGGATCCATCGGGACAGAAAATAAATTCCCTCTTCAGAAAAGTGGACTGAAATATGGACTGGATTGTGATGTTTTGGCAGAACTGCTCCCAGCCAACCAGCTTCCTACCTTCTCAGAGGACCCCGATCACTTCCTGGGGCCACAGCCTACCGACGACCTCCAGCCCCGAGACCAGTGAGACGTCTGTACCTGCCGGCACTACTTCCACATCCATGGTCATCAAGAACGGTGAGCTGACGTGATGTGCTCCTCACTCAAATATCACACATTTTGTTAAGAACACTGATTGGAGTTTATTGATCATGTGTCTGCTGTTAGAAGAAGGCTCAGATTCAGCCAAACGCTGCAGCACTGGTCAGATGTACAGTGCAATAAGTAATGACCCAGAGCAAACTGCCCAGCCTGCTCTCACCCCAACACTGAGAACAAAACTGAATAAAGAGGTGGGTGAGGTGGGCGGAGCAATCTCAAAAAACCTTTTTGCAAACTCCATGAAACAGACAGTGATTATTAGCATCTACTGTTTTCAGGTTCTGTAGCCCTGGTTATCTAAATGCGTGTAGACCCGCCTGTATATTTGCCTCACAATCACCATAATCGTCTTATTGTTGGGCTTTGGCTGATTAAAACGTTTTTTTATGATAATGTTTGATCACACTTTATACATTTATGACTCAACAGGTTTATCACCCAATGCAAAACACAAAATGAATCTGATTCTGACCCTATCTGATGAAGCAATCCCACTGCAGTGTAGCTGAATGATGTTTCTGTGAACACTACACAGCGGCTGCCTCCTCTGGAGACAGCAAGAAAACATCACCTTGATCCAGCTTCAGTGTTATGAGTCTTTGTGAGTTACAAAAACTGTTATTGTGGGAACTATAATAAATCAGCCATCCTTCAGACTTATCAGATGCTGTGGATGTGATGCGTCCATCACCAACTGACTTTTGGTCATTGTGAATATTATCATAAGAAAACATTGAATGAAGTATTATTGTGGTGCAGTTATATTTATCTGCAAATCCTTCATTTAAACTAAAGGCATGTTTTGAAGACAAAAAGTCTTGCACGAGTTATTTTTCACCTCTAGAAGAATAGTGAGAACCATGGAGTCTGATTTATAACCAAGATATGTACTTTAATGCACACATTAAGCAAACTAGAAGGTTAGTTAGGTGACTTAGTTCAGTATTTGGATGAAGGCACAAACTCAGTAACAACACTGTGACATTTAGAAACATTTCATATCAAAATGATTCTGGAAAACTCATCCAGGCGTGAATATGAGTGAGTTTGTTATCATAGAACTTATTGTCATAATAATAATAATAATGGATTTATATAGCGCTTTTCTAGGCACCCAAAGTGCTTCACAATTCCACTATTCATTCACTCTCACATTCACACACTGGTGGAGGCAGCTACAGTTGTAGCCACAGCTGCCCTGGGGCAGACTGACAGAAGCGAGGCTGCCATATCGCGCCATCGGCCCCTCTGGTCAGCTAACCCAATCCCTAACATGGTCCTAACACGGTCCTAACACGGTCCCCTGTTAGGGCTAAATCAGGGGACCATCAACCTGTAGAAGCATGATAACTTCCTTATGTGCTTGGTTCAGTGGAGTTCTTCCTCCCTGCTATGATGATTGAGATGATTGTTGTTGGGAAATTGAGCTATATAAATAAAAACTAACTTGAGTTAAGGTCAAGAAAAACAGCATGTTTGCTTCAAATATTCTATTAGAGATGACGAGCTGTCTGTGATGTGAAACACTGAGTCTCTTGCCCAGATTGTTACGTCGATGTTTGTGAAGGACACCTCAGCAGCGTATTTAAATGCACTGAGTCAGCATCATTTATGAACATGTTGGGTTAAAAGACAACTGCTCACATTGCTGTGCCAGCTGCATCACTATATCAGTGCCAAAGAATATGTTCTGTAATGTTTGTGATGCAAATCATCTAAAACAACACTTTCAAACAGTCCTGACAGGGATGCTGGACCAACCTTCAGCAGGTCATTAAAAACAAGAAAAATCTATTCTCCATATTTCAGGTCACTGAAAGATCGTCATCTCTGAACAAGACTTCCCTCAGAAGTCATTAGCCATGATCGGGGGTCGGCAACCCTGGGCACACAAAGGGTTAACTGATGGCACGACCATAGTTGGACTGGCCGTGATTTTTCGTTTTTATGGGCCGATGATTTTTTTTGTTTTGTAACGGTATAAACAAAAGGTGGTGGATTGGGCAGATGCTGGCCGATGTGAAAAATAACTCAGTTATTTGGTGGTGGCTGTGGCGGAGCTTCCACAGAGGCCAGCAGGTGGATGAGGGAAGGGGAGGCAGGAGGAGGAGAGACCCGGGGCGGC